TTTTTATCCCATGTATCCAAGATACCTGTATCTGAGTGTATCTGGACGCCTCAAATACATATATCCGAAAATTTTCTAAGACTCGTAATAATGCAAACTAGCATGAATCTAAGTAATTGATTTCTACCAATAGAATTTCTGTTAAGTTACCATGTAAGTTACCTTATATATAAAAGGAGAGATTGAAACTGCTAGAGTTTTACGTACGTCAATTTAATTGATTGATAAGAAAATAAGATGTCTTGGCAAATTTTCTGTCATTAATTAATGCAGATAGATGTATGCTTTAAGAATGAAAAAACTCTATGCCCGTTGCTTTACGGGCAAACAAGACTTGCGTGTACGTTTGTGAAGCCACATTTCCCTTTTAAGCAATATAGTGCCTTCATTTTTACACAGTATTCAATATTTGTATTTAAAATTCAACTAATTTAAATAAATATTTTACAAAGATATTGCTAAAGACGGAACTTCCAAAGAAAAGTTTTCATTCTCAAGACATAAATTTGAAATCTTAAACTAAAAGGGAAGGAACCTTAATCATCTCACCAAAACTCACACTCATCATGTTGGTACAAGCAATAAATGTATGTATAAGCAACAAATAGCTATCTACTATGAAGTAACTATTATCACGAGTCTACTTTAAAATATTATAATATCTGATTTCTCTTATTTTAATTTTACATTACCAATTATATTGCACATTTATTATGAATGTTTTTTGTAGTTATTTTTAAGATGACTTGCAGATGGTGCAAAACTTAAATACTGGTAAAAAAAAAAAGTTAAACTCTATATAAAATCTATACTTGATTTCATAATCACACAAACTATATAATGTAGTTAAGAGCACGTGTTTCAAATATTTAACAAACACAAATATTATGCTTCTTTTTTTTTAAGATATGACTTTCAAAATATTTAAAAATAATCATAAAATTCAATGATGAGTTAAACTATAGCATAAATCGAAGGGGTGGAAGAAATATATTACATGGAAAAGTTCAAAAGGTAAAAAAATTAAATATAGGGCCGTAGGTCAAGAATATTATCGTGTCGATTAGTGTCACATGCTCACAATTTTGTTTAGTTCTTATGGAATGGTTAACAAGATGATTGATTCACAAAAAATTCTTAAATACACAATTTGTTTTATTATACTTTTAAAAAAATTCTATCATTTGAAAAATTAATAACTCTTTTCTATTTTCAGAACGTTACTTTAGGCGATGTATCGGTCGGATACATCATTTTACAACTGATACATCGCTTTATACGATATATCTGGACATACACGATGTATCAGGACATTGAGTGATGTATCTAAAATTGAGACGCGATGTATCAGGACTTGGAGGGGTGTATTCGAAATAGAGACGTAATATATAAGTACATTTTGGGATATATCCGGATTCCATCAAATTTAAAGAATTTTTGTAATTTGGAAAATAATAGACATATAATGTAATTAACTCTTAACAATATATAATTTATGTAAAATTCTCACAACTTTATGTACTTTTGCTAAAGAAGAAATAAATTAAAAAGATAAAAGGGAAAATATCCGGTCTTTTTAAATTACACTTGCCAAAGCTATAAGAAATTTAAAATACTAGGAGGAAACAATTATGGGCAAATTATCACTGCCTTAAATATGAGTGAGTGGCTTATATATGCATGTACTTATGATATCCTCAAAAAAATGAGTTTACAAGATCAAAATGAATAAAATAATATCCTGAATGTAAGGGAAATTTGTATATACTGTGAATTATACATTATAAGATAGTATATATATGCATCTGATATTACCATTAAATGAATTTATCACACTTAACAATAATTTGATATAGATGTATATTACTAATCATGATAAACTGATAAAAATATATTTATGAGGTGTGACATGTTTGTTGTGTATTTGCCCTGAGTTTCTTATCATAAATGACTAGTTTTTTTTTTTGTAGGAAAAGGTTTTTGACTCTATAAATAGAGGTTCATACCTTCTAACATAGTAGCATTCACAATGTAGTTCTAGGAACTCTGAGTGTTTTGTGTAGGGGAAGAAACGGTGGGACACTAGTGTTACGTTAATTCTTGTGTGAATTTCGTTTTATTCCGAGTGAATAGTGTGAGGTCATTTCTATCAATATTTTATACTCTCATATTTATATAGTGAATTGATCATCTCCTCTTGTAGATGTAGGTTGGTTGACCGAACTACTTTAAATCTGTGTGTCTTTTGATATATTTCTCGTTTGTCTTCTGCATGCATTTGACATTATTTATTATTTCAAATCGTGTTCTTTCATTTTCTAGAATCATATATCATGTATGCAATACTAATAAAGGAGTTTGACAAACACATATAACATAAACAAGAAGAAAAACAACCATCACCTACCTCGAATCAAGCCTTAGAAGCTCTATCAAACCCAAGCCTTCCCCTTGTTATGACTTTCGGCTTATTCTTGGTCTAAAATAATAACAAATAACACAATCAATGAATAGTGGCCTAAAAGTACCTCAATTATAATTAAATCCTTAGCCTAGGCCATTCCCATGAATATCCCCACCCAAACCAAGGTTTCTCCACCTTCAATTCAAGTCAAACTCTCCCCTAAGGTCACCCTACAAGAATTCTAACGCCTAAGAATCAGAACACCAAGGTAGGGGAGAAATTAATATACCTTTACCTAAGAAAATTGGTGAAGAAGTGCAGAAAATCGCCCTAGGTCACCCCTCGCTCTTCCCAAAATGTTTTTCTAGAATTATGAGAGGTTTAGGGGAAGTTTATGCATAAACTCGTGTCCATTATAGGAGCTCCACCATAGTGGAATCACCCCCTATAGCGAGGATTAATTCCCCTGTTATAGCAGAGTGGCACCCGCTATAGTGACTTGTATGGAATAGAAACTCGAAATTCTCCCAAAAAGTTTCCATTTTGCAACATACTTTTGAACCATGACGTTCTAAATTACTTAATGCTAAGTTTGATATCGGAAGTTCTACTTATCTGGATTTACTTCTGAAAAGCCTTATGGACTGAATAATGTCTTAACCAATAGAGAAACAAACTCAAGCTTAGACATTTTACCCAATCCATTTCGAAATTGCCTACCTCACCTTTCTTATATTTCATCTAAGAACCCGAAATTTTCAACTTGCCATTTCAAAAGTTCTCTTATCAAATTTCTTTCACCAATGATTTTCCCATAACGATCGGAAGGGGTCCTTATAGTAAACCACCTGCAAGACTCTTACAAAACCATATATACTCAAATTCCCCTTATTATATATGTCTTAGACCACCCAGTCTAACAAAACCGCACAAGCTAGTGAATGAGCAAAGCTCCCAGTCAACATCCTGACTTAACAGTTACATGAAACATGTCCCACATGATCACAACCAACCACCCAACCTAATTCATCACACCTTCTAGCAACACGAATCACCAGAATTCCCAAGGCATCATCTATAATGCTTAACATGCCATCCCGGTCTACACAAGAATCATCCCAGCATTTAAAAATTATCCCGGCCACTCATGGACCAATATATAACAATCATATTACAAAGAAGTAAACCCAGTTCACTCAAGAAACTAACATACAAGAGAAAAATTTTAAAAAAACGTACCAGGCAAGCATGGGATCACGAGCCAACCAAAAGATATCATATATCAAATGAGGTATCAGATTCAATCGATAATATGTATCAAGCATGGTACTCGAGCCAATCAGGAGATATCCTATACCAGGCATGGTACCTGAATAACCTAAAAATATGTACTAGGCATTGTACATGAGTCAACTAAGAGATATCCCATACCAAGCGTGGCGCCCGAGCCAACCAAGAGATATTTGTACCAGATGTGGTACCTAAGTCACCTGATAGTTACAAAAACACAATCACAATCATAATAAAATACAAACACGCTTGTAAATACAAGTAAACAAAATAATTTCATTGCATGAGATTGTAAACAATTCATCATTTCACATTCAAACCTTATGATTTCTCCAACATGCATTGTATAAATTTTACAATAGAGACAGTTAACATGCATATATATCCTAACCTGGAAAACAACAATCATCACCTACTCCTGGACAACTCTTTCCGAACATTTCTTCTCGCTTATGACCCAATACCCATAAATAACACCACTAAGATAACACCCAATAACAATAATGACGTCAACACCAGCGAATCAAGAACCCTTCCATCCTAGACAACTATAAACACGCATTCATCCGCCTAGACTTTGTGCCCGAAGGCCTATACATGCAACTCTCAACAATTAATATGAATTGTGCAATTAAAGATATGTCTAACTACTCAGTTAAGCTTAGCCTACTAGACGCCAAACAACTACTGAAGAACATTGAGCACAAGCTTCTAGATCCGAGGGGATAATCCTAACGAGCATAGATCCGAAACCCATGGGCCTGACCCACCTTGTGCTAGAATCCCTCATCTCCCTTGTCCCAAAGCTTGGAGCAATTTTTGGAGGATTTTTGGAGTAACCCTCGTTTATTTTACCACTGAAGAGGAGGAAAAATAAAACAATTTGTGTTTCTCAGTTTTTGCGCTGCTGACCCCACTATAGCAGTTGCCATAGCAAAAATATTTCTGCTATGTCGGGATAACATCAGCCCAGGTCTATTTCAAATTCCATTTTTTTTTCATGTCATCCAAAATTTTAAATTGACAACGTATTTCAAATTTTTTTGAGACTCCGCACGAAATGGTTACACAATTAAATTAAAATATTTAAATTGGGACACATGAAGTAACTTATATGAAAGAATTGTTGCTTTTTCTTGACCTCACCCACTCAACCAAAAAGAATGAGTAGTTTGTCCATATTAGCATCACTTTAAACAAGCAAAGCGTTTTGAATCCCATGTTTCTTCCCCCCGCCCTTTCTCTCTCACACAGACACAGTGACACAACACAACAAAGCACACAATGCCTATATCACACTCTTCTTCCTTCTCCTCCTCCTCCTTATAAATAGCAATATATTCAGTGAAGAGCCTAATTAAATCTTGAAAAATGGCATCATGTTTATCTGTACTCTTTCTTGCTTTACTTGTTGTTTTTCTCTCTTCTCGTGTTCTTTCCCTTTCTTCATCCAATAATGAGGATGAGTTTATGTTATCTTCTGCTAAATTCCCTGTACCAGTGGCAGAAAAACTCATCAAACAACTTAATTTGTTCCCTAAACATGATATCAACAAGGCTTCATCATCACCCTTAGCTGCTACTCATCAGCAAACTCTCTTTGAGAAGAGATTCAATTTATCTTATCTTGGTGATTCAGGGGCCACTGTTCAAGATTTGGGTCATCATGCCGGTTATTATCGTCTTCCACATACTAAAGATGCAAGGTATGGTTAACACAGTTTTATATTTATATTACTCATCTATCTCAATTTATATGACTTACTTTTCTTTTTAATCAGTTCAAAAAATAATGACACATTTCTATATTAAGTAATAACTTAATTATAAAATATCTATTTTATCCTTAATAAATGATTTATATTTCTATAATTCATTTTGGACCATAAATTTTAAAAATCTTCTTTTCTTTCTTAAACTCCGTGTCAAATCAAATAACCTCACATAAAATAAAAACGGAGGGAATACTAATGATTTATACGTATTTTTAATATAAATACCAAGTTTAGGCTGAAGTGCTAAATTCGGCAAAACTCGTAATCATTGAAATAGCCCCGCCCATGATGATTAATACATTCGATTTGTCACTTTATTACGCAAAGAATGACCCTTTTTATTTCTAGAATTCTTTAATTTAAAAAAAATATTTTACCTTTAATAAAATGATTTTATAGACCGAAATCAAAATAATGTGTGTTCTTAAATTCATGATTTTTTTATGACAACAACAAAAGAGATATTTAATAACAGTAAAATATATTATTACTAAAGTTTTAAGTGATATTTATATAGAATATTTATTATGATTATAAATACTCATATCATATTATATTATATTATATTATATTATATTATATTTTACTATAGAAAATCCTTTATTTATTATAGTGTTTCCAGTTAAATTCCAGAGAAAAAATATTTGGTAATTTTTAATGTTATTTTTATCTTTTGTTTTGGTGTAATTATGAATTGTTTAATTTGTTTGGCAGGATGTTTTATTTCTTTTTTGAATCAAGAAGCAGCCAGAATGATCCAGTTGTTATATGGCTAACAGGGGGGCCAGGATGTAGCAGTGAATTGGCTGTGTTTTATGAAAATGGACCTTTCAATATAGCAGACAATATGTCACTTGTTTGGAATAATTTTGGCTGGGACAAGGTTTTTACTTATTTCATTTCAATTTAATTGCCTAGTTTTTTCTTTTAGTCAGTTTTAATTTATTTATTTTTGACAATTTTTTAATTTCTATTTTTACATATAACATATTTAAAATCACAAGATTAAAAATACATATTTTACATATTATTAATTTAAAATCATAAAATTCATGTGTTTACTTTTGTTCTTTGAAGATTAAGGCACTCTATTTCAAAAAAAGTGGTAAGTACTGATGTAACAAGTTGAGGTGTATCTAAATTCATCGTAACACAATTTAATTATAGATAAAATAAAATATGGGTTTAGATATTTTGAAAATAATGATGAGAATTCACTCCACGTTATCAAAACATATATAATATCATTCAAAAAAGAAAATTATCATGCAAAGCATCTTTGTTTTTTACCAAGTAGAATTTTTTTTACATAGCAAATTTTCTTTTGTTTTGTTTTTTAATTTTTGAAGAGAAAATTTGGCAGCCTTTTGCTCTATCTTCATTTACACGTAAAGTCCCATCCACTTTGTGAACCTATACATCTTTAATTTCTACTTCCCCCCCCCCCCTCCTCCCCGTCGCCCCCCACAATGACATAGGGACATAACATAAAGTCCCTAATAATCACTTTATTTGCTTTTCATTTTTTTCCTGAATAAATAAGATTCCACTACTCAAATTTCTCATAGAATTGTTGATTAAAGTGGTTTTTCAATATCAATTATTAGCTAGCAAAGGTCATAAATCAAAAATATTAGGCGCGAATTCCAATTACATTGACCCAATGGGCTCTCGAATATCAAATGGTTAAACTGGGAAAAGAGAGATTTTTTTGAATTACACTCTTGATTCATGTTTGTAGTTAAACGAATATGTAACGGAGTGAATTATAATTCAACAGGTCTCAAACTTAATATACGTTGATCAACCAACTGGAACTGGTTTCAGTTATACATCAGACGATGATGACATTCGTCACGATGAAAGGGGTGTTAGCAACGACCTTTACGACTTCTTGCAGGTTTGTTACTCTCTGTTTTGTTCCTTTTTTTTTTTTCTCTCTTGTTCCAAATCTAAAGTTTAAACCTCTACTTTTTTTAATAAAATATTATTGTCCAAATATTTGAATGTTATTTCTTTGTCCTTTTTTATGCATAGGCTTTCTTCAAGGCACATCCTCAGTATGTAAAGAATGATTTTTACATAACTGGAGAATCATATGCTGGGCATTACATTCCTGCATTTGCTTCTCGCGTTCATCAAGGTAACAAGAATAAAGAAGGAATTCCAATAAATCTTAAGGTAATTTATAACTAATTAACTCATTTTGCAAAGCTAATTTGCTTTGTTTGGACTGGTTGCGGTGCTAATTCAGTTAATTATATTCGATTAGGGATTCGCCATTGGTAATGGACTCACTAATCCAGAAATTCAGTACAAAGCCTACACTGACTATGCATTGGATATGAGATTGATCAAACAATCTGATTACAATGTCATTGACAACTCATATCCAAAATGTCAACAGGCAATTAAGCTTTGTGGTAATCTTCATCTCACCAACTGTATTTATCATTTAAATACTTCACTATTCTTGACATCATCTGTGTGCTATGCAAAAAATTTTAGGAACTGATGGTGGAAGTGCTTGCATGGCGGCATATCTTGTTTGCACAAGTATCTTCAACAAGATAATGAATGTTGTGGGTAACAAAAATGTAAGAAAGCATAATTTCTTTTATTTTTCTCTCCGAGCTAATAGTATGGTAACTAGAATCACACCGATTTCTAACGATAACATTACATAAAAACTGGAATTATCTATAAACTTCGTTGCTAGATTACTCATAGCTAACAAACTTTTTCGATAAATGGTAGCTAACTCATTGTTGAATAAGATTAGCTACGGATGTTGATATTTAGCTACTGAATTTGTCCTGCCGCTAATTCCAATATTTTTAGTAGTGTAACATGTATTAACTCATTACTTGGGACCTGCAGTACTATGATGTCAGAAAGACTTGTGATGGTGATCTCTGCTATGACTTTTCCAACATGGAAAATCTCCTCAATGATGAGCAGGTTAAACATGCCCTTGGTGTCGGGGATATTGAGTTTGTGTCGTGTAGTTCTACAGTTTACCAGGCAATGCAGTTGGATTGGATGAGGAATCTTGAAGCTGGTATTCCTCCACTCCTTGAGGATGGAATCAAGCTACTTGTGTATGCCGGGGAATATGATCTTATCTGCAACTGGCTAGGTAAGCTTCATTCATTTGTGATAGTACATTTTTTATGTGCAGTCAATGGAAATCTACTTATACAGAGCTAAATAGTTTGAGGTAAGCTTAAAAGGCATAACATGCTCAGTATAGCCGACCCCAATTTATTTGTGATAGAGACATAGTTTTAGTTATTGTGATTCATAACTAAACTATTTTTCATGCTATGGACAGGGAACTCGAGGTGGGTGCATGCAATGGAATGGTCTGGACAGAAAGATTTTGGGGCAGCACGATCGGTTCCTTTTACAGTAGATGGTGAAGAGAAAGGAATTGAAAAGAACCACGGGCCTCTAACTTTCCTTAGGGTCCATGATGCAGGACACATGGTTCCAATGGATCAACCTAAGGCAGCACTTGAAATGCTGCAGAGATGGATGCAAGGGAAATTGTCTAAAGAAGGTCACTTTGCTCATATGTAGTTTCTTCAACTTACAATTAAGGCCCAATAACAGTTTTACAAGTTGATATGGAAAAATGTGATACAAATCATGTAAATACTCTTTCAAAAATTCATGTCTATTTTGAGGAGAATGGTGTTCTGTCTGAGGTTACACTAAGCATGTATTAAAAAGTTGAAAAACCACATCAACTCTTGAAAAGAGCTTATATGTAACAAGTATTCATGGTGATTGTTAAATTGCTGAATCAATACACTATCAATGGTGAAAGAATGTAAATGGAAGCAGTTAAGAAAACAGAGAGTACATCTTCTTCAGAGAACTTGCATTGAATACCATCTGTAAATTGGATTGTCTAACTACAAATGAATGAGGCTAGGACCTTTTATATACAAAAGATTCTACTTGCTAATCATCTCTAACAATCTACTAACTACATAAAATATCTTCTAACAAACTCTAACTGACTCGTGTGCCAGCTCAACTCAACTAGCTGCAACTTGTTTATCATAGTCGTAGTCCTCAATACCCCCCTTCAAGCTAGGTGGTATGAAGATGTTCTTCAAGCCTAGCTTGGAAACGAGATAAGAGTGTTGGGCAGAACTTAGTCCCTTTGTGAGGATATCAACAAGTTGTTCTTGTGTGGGCAAATAGTGAATCATCACAAGGCCAGCTTGAACCTTTTCCCGAATGAAGTGACAGTCTATGTCGATGTGTTTATTCCTTTCGTGGAATACATGATTAGTTGCGATCTGAATGGCAGCTTTACTATCACAATATAAAGAAATAAGTAAAGACAATGGCATATCCATCTCCTTGAATAAACCAATTAACCAAACTAGCTCAGCGACAGTGGAGGCGAGGCTCCTATACTCTGCCTCTGCAGAACTTCTGGAAATGGTAGGATGTTTCTTAGACTTCCAGGATAACAATGCACTTCCAAATTGAATCATATAACCAGTAATGAATTTCCTATGCTTGAAGTGTGTCTGTTGTCTGAACAGCCATATAAAGGCCTAGACCTGGAGCTTGTTTCACATACTTCACCACTCGAACAACTACTTCCATATGAATAGCCTTAGGAGCATGCATGAATTGGCTCAAATGCTCTACTGCAAAGGATATATCAGGTCTTGTTATGGTAAGGTATAACAACCTTCCAACTAGTCGTTGATATTCAGTAGGGTCTACTAACAAAGAATCAACATCTGAACTTCCAACATGTAGATCAAACTCATGTGTGGTAAGCCTCAAACGCATCTCAACAGGAGTGACAGATTGTTTGGATCCTCCCAATCCCAAATCAGAAATGAGCTCAAGCGCATATTTCCGTTGATGCATTAGCATACCACCTGCATTTCTGGTAAATTCCATGCCCAAGAAATATCTCAAAGTGCCCAAGTCCTTAATTTAGAAGTTTGCCTTTAAGTACTTGTTTGGCATCATCTATAAGTTGGAGACTTCTTCCAGTAATCAACAAATCATCCACATATATAAGTACAATCACAATCCCATTTGCAGTCCTCTTTATCATCAATGAATAATCAAGATGGCTCTGCTGAAAACCAGCGGCAAGTAAAGCAGTAGTGAGCTTCACATTCCACTGTCGAGAAGCCTGCTTCAGCCCATATAGAGACTTAAGTAACCTGCATACTTTAGGATCCCCTTTCTTATCATGCTGAAACCCTTGTGGCAATTGCATATAGACTTTCTCAATAATATCTCCTTGTAAAAAGGCATTATAAACATCCATCTGTTGAATGTCCCATCCCTTTGAAACAGTCAAGGTCAGAACAGTCCTTAATGTAACCATTTTCACTATAGGAGAGAAGGTCTCTTGGTAATCCAGACCTTCTTTCTGATTATAACATTTTGCTACTAGCCGAGTCTTGAATCTTTCTATCTCACCACTAGATTAATATTTGATTTTATAAACCCATTTACAACCAATTGCTTTCTTTCCTTTTGGCAAAGAAACAACCTCCTAAGTTTTGTTATCCTCCAATGCTTGAATTTCTTCCTTCATAGCATGTACCCATCTACAATCATTAGCAACCTGATAATAAAATTGAGGTTCAGTCTCAACTGATGAACTAGCAATGTAACATTGATAAGTGGAGGAAAGATAACTGTAATCAATGTTGTCTGAGATAGGATAAAGACAATGGTTTGATTTACTTGTGGAGGTAGTAATGAAATCTTTCTGCCAAAGGGGTGGTTTTCTTGTCCTGTAAGATCTCCTTCTCTCAGGAGAAGGATGTAAATGATCATCAAAAACAACTGAAGGAGGTGAAGCTACTTGTATAATTTCCTCACTTGTTATTGTAGCAGGTTGTACTGCATCAACAACCTCAGTATGACAGAAACAGGTTGGTGAAGCCAAAAATACTGTTGTATCATGTGGATCAGCCAATGCTGGGGACTGAAAAGGAAACACTGCTTCATTGAACACCACGTCCCTACTAACAAAGAATATTTGATGCTCAGGATCATATAACTTGTAACCCTTTTGTGTAGAACCATAGCCCATTAAAACTGATGGAATAGCCCTCGGACCAAATTTATCAGTTTGACTAGATTTGTAGCATGACATAGACAACAAATTACTCTCATGTAGGACAGGTCAGGAGATCTCTTATACATCAATTCAAAAGGTGGTTTATTGTGCAATACTGAAAAAGGAATTCTATTTATAATGTGTACAACACTTAAGATACACTCACCCCAAAATCGAATTGGTAAGTGACCTTGAAACCTCAATGCCCTTGCAGTCTCTAAAATGTGTCTGTGCCTTCTTTCCACTACACCAATCTATTGTGGTGTATGTGGACAAGAACTTTAGTGCACAATCCCATGACTCTTGAACAACCCATCACACTGAGCATTAAAAAACTCAGTACAATTATCTGATCTGAAAGTCTTAAGTTTCTGTCCAAATTGAGTGTCAATCATCAAAATGAAATTCTGTAAAACAGATTAGATTTCAAGTGCATTAAGAAAATCCATGTCCATCTTGAATGATCATCAACCACTGTTAGAAAATATCTCATTTTATTATGTGTAGCAGCCTTATAAGGACCCCATACATCCAAATAAATCAAGTCAAAACAATTTTCACTTCTACTTTGACTAATAGGAAATGACAATCTAACTTGTCTTGCCAATGGGCATACATCACAACTAGGTATAACAAGTTTTTGTGGACTATCAAACATCTTAATTTTCCTAAGCACACTCATAGGGATGTGACCTAGTCTCTTATGCCACGTTTCAGCTTCTTCACATCCTTTAACAGATGCCAGTGCCTTCTTTGATTTATCATGATGTTGGTGTGGTCTGGTAATGTACAAGCCATTAATCTCTTCACCAATCTCCTTCACTTTCCCAGTGAAGAGATCCTGAATTATAAAGAAATCAGGGAAGAAAACGACACAACAATTCAGTTCTTTAGTGAGCTTAGACACTGAAAGAAGATTGAACTGAAAGTTGGCACACACAACACATTTTTAACTACATCACCTCCTGTTAATTGAGAACTCCTGAGTGTGTAACAACAGTTGAATCCCTTATGGGGAGTTGGACCTCTCTTGGGTGAGAAACTGATAAGCCATGATTAAGTAGAGCTGTATTACTAACCATATGATCAGTAGCACCACTATCTACTATCCAAGCTGAGCTATGAGTAGTACTATTACAGTGAGAAGAACCAACAAAAATATCTGCTACATTTGCACTGGATTCACTCAGCATGGGTTTGTTCAGCATGTGAAGGATGTTGTTATATTGACTCGGAGTAAACTGTGGCACAGATCCAGGTCCAAAATTTCCAGCAATAGATCCAGAACTATGTCCATTTGTATTTCCTGTAAATTGCATGGGAGAAACAAAATGGCCAATACCATAACCTGTATACCGCATTTGGTAATTGAGATTATTGTTGAAATTATTGTGTTGCATTTGAGGCAATGAAGGTGCAGTGACAATATTTTCCTTTTTCTTTCCTTTGTAGTCGGCAGGGTAACCGATGAGTTGATAGCAGGTGCCCTTTGTATCACCCTACATATTGCAATGTGTGCAGTGCTTGAGCTTGTTGCAATTGGCTCGAATGTGCCCTTTCATGTTACAGAAATTGCAGTACATATTTCCTCCTTTTTGAAATCGATGAGAATTACCATTACCACTTCCATTACCAGAAACTTGAGAACCTTGAGAACCTTGAGATCCAAAACCACTGCCTCCAGGCTTGTGAGTGAATAATGCAGTTGGATCAATCGTTTGTCCAGATCCACTTAAGGAACGTTGGCTTTCATCCTCAACAATCATTGCATAACATTGATTCACACTAGGATAGGGATTCATCATTAGAATTTGGCTCCTTGCTTGTCCATAGTTATCGTTCAACCCCATAAGAAACTGAAGTAATTTTTGCCTAAGCATACTATCAGTATAATCAACTGATTTTGCATAGTCGCAGGAAGGAGGTGGAAGTATCGAGTCATATTCATCCCAAAGATCTTTCAATTTCGAATAGTAAACTGAAACAGGAGAAACTCCTTGAACATACGTAACAATTGCTTTGTGGAAATGAAAAATACGTGGCATGTTTACCTTGTCGAATCGTTCTTTCAAGTCATTCCAAACCAAAGATGCATTAGATCGAAACAAGATACCACTAACTAGATCCGTGCTTACATTATTCATCAACCAAGAGAGGACCATCGCATTGCATCGATCCCACTGTTTCTTCTCCTTCTTCCTTAAAATCATCTCGTCGAAGACTGCCATCAATAAATCCCATCTTATTCTTCGTCAAGAGGGTTAATGGCATAGCTCGACTCCATAGTGAGGAATTTTCCATCCCTGTGAGCTGGATTCCAATCTGCACAGCTCTTGGAATATCAGATGTCAATAGATATAGAGGATGATTGTGGTCGATCTTCGTCGCCATCGCAATCCTTCAACTCTGCAATATATTGAAAAAAATAATGGAGATGCGGAAAATTCACCTAGAACTCTATCAATTAAGCTCTGATACCATGTTAAATTGCTGAATCAA